GACTCACTTGCGCGCCTTTCCTTGTTGGCTCCTTCGTGGGAGCCTCAGAGGGTTTGAACATGCTTGGCGGATTCGTCGATTTCGATATGATTTCATCGGATTTGGTCTCCATCTGAACGAGATTTTCAGAGGTGTGGTCGAAATCTGAGCGAACTCTTGTCGAACTCACGCTTACGATAGGGCCGTGGATGTTCAAAGAGGCTCCCCTGAAGGTTCGCCCGGCTTTCCGGCCCAGCGCTGTTTGTCAAGGATGCGTAGGGGGCGGATTGAGGAAAGCCATGCAAGTAAGTTTTGATGAGGCTACAGAGAAAACCCTCTGACCGTACTCGCCGGACCTCTCCCGGGTTGCGTCCTGACCAGAACGTCCAGGCGAATCCGTCTGTGGCGACGAGGGCCTCTTAGGAGGCCCCACCAGACTAAAAACGAGGGGAGGATGTAGAGCGGTCTCGGTATTCCTTCCTGTTCCGAAGCGCTGGGCTGGGAGGCTGTACGCGATGTGGTACATCGACCGGAAGAACGACCAGCTGAAGGCCGAGGCGAACAGCCCGGACAAGCACGTCATGCGCAAGCGCTACGAGGAGGGACCCGCTCCCCCCCCAAACCCAAGGGGAGCCTCTGGGCCTCCGCGAGGGGCCCTCGGAGGGGATCAGAGCAGGAAAAAACATGACGGCAGGCTGTCGCTGGTTCGGGCCTCCAGGGGCCCTCGCCGAGCCCCAGGACCAGGAGAAGCCGGTCCCGGAGAATGGGTAGAGATTCCCAGGGGTCCACGTTGGGAACAACATGCGACGTCGGGAGTTTTGGGATACTGCCACACTTCCATCGTTTTCGCTTGTTGCCATGGGGGAGAACACAGCACAGACTTCTTGCGTCGGCGGCTAGGCAGAGTCACTGCGCTGTCGATGAGGCGTAGGCAAGCACGGACACCAACAGGCGTGGGTTTCCATGCAGCTCTGGGCACTCGTGGAGCCGGAGGGGAAGCCGAACGCTCAGCACATCTGCAAAGACAGGGGGGGAGTCCTGGGAGATTTGTGTGCGACAGGGGGTCTCGGGCTTTCCATGAGCCTCCTGCGGCACGGCGCGGGCTTTCCCCATGGAAGGTCGATGATCCTCAGGACGTGCGTGAATTAGCCCAGTGTGTGCTTACCCCCCTTCAGCCCAGCCAGTGGATCATCGCAACGCCTGCGTCGTGTCGAAGGTCCTCGATGGACAAATACACGTCGGGGCTACAGTCAACCATGATAGTAAGGATGTGGCAACTATCCAAGGCTACCCTTGCTTGCCCCTTCGATATTCGGCATCCTTCGGCATTCTGCTGTGCTCCGCACGGAAAACGTCAACATGGCGTTCCCAGGCCCTTGCATCCTTACCGCGCATCCTTACTATCCTGGTCGAGTGTAACACGCGTTCTGAGGATTCTCGAGAAGGGGCCCCCCGCCCCTTTTGGTACCCGGCGCTCGGGCGGCCCCCCCCCCCCTGGCGGCGGCCCAGGTCGGCCGTGGCCTGTCGATCCATCGCTCGGCCTGCTCGAGCGGCCCAGGCACCTGCCGGCCGCGGCCGGTCGAGTCCTGAGGAGGAAGGGGAGGATGAGGAGAAGGAGGAGGAGGAGGAGGAGGAGGAAGAGAAGGGAGGAGGAGGAGGAGGAGGAGGAGGAGGAGAGATGAAGAGGAGGAGGAGAAGGATGAGGAGGAGGAGGAGGGAGGAGGAGGGGGAGGAGGAGAGGAGGAAATGAGGAGGAGGAGGAGGAGGAGGAGGAGAGGAGAGGAGGAGGAGGAGGAGGAGGAGAAGGGGAGGAGGAGGGGGATAAGGAGCAGGATTCCAGCAGGATGAGGAAAAGGAGGAGGAGGAGGCGGAGGAGGAGGAGGAGGAGGAGGAGGAGGAGGAGGAGGAGGAGGAGGAGGAGTAGGAGGAACAGGATGCCCGCGGAATGGGTCAAGACGTACGAGGGTGTCGGTCAAGTCCTGAAGAGTGGCGCCCTGGTCGGTCGAAGACAATGTGTCGCTGGGCCCCTTCAGCACGCGGGCCCCGAGGGGATCCGGCCCCTTCGGATGCCGGGGTCCTTTTTTATCCCAGCTGGCCAGCCTTCCCAGGAGGGCCCAGGGAGGTCCCGAGGGCTTCCCCAGGGAGGGTGGGTCCCGAGAGGGAGGTCCCGAGAGGTTCCCCAGGGGCGGAACAGCCAAGGAAACAGCTCGGGACCCGTTTCCCTCGGAACCCTTTCTTGCTCCTTTGACCCCGCGGCCTTCTTTCCCAGGGCCAGGTCTTCGTCCTGGGTGGGATTTGTGGACGCTCTTGGGCCCAGGGGGGGAGGTCCCGAGAGGTCCCCCTGTGATGATGATGATGTTGTTGTTGTTGATGATGATGATGATGATGATGATGATGATGCTCATGCTGATGCTGATGCTGATGCTGATGCTGCTGCTGATGATGGTGGTAGTGGTGGTGATGATGAATATGCTGATGATGATGATGATGATGATGATGATCATCATCATCATCATCGTCATCGTCATCGTCATCAGTATCATTATTGGCATCATCAGCAGTATCATCATCACCTTCACCATTCTCATCATCGTCATCATCGCAAGTATCATGATCACCATTAGCAGCATGATCATGATCCTCAGCATCATCGTCATTACCATCATCACTATCATTACCATTACCATCACCGTCATCATCATCAGACAAACCATCGACAACATCCTGATTCTCTTCATCATCGCATCATCAATATCCCTATCATCAGCATCATCATCATCACACATCAATATCATTACCATTGTCGCTATCACCGCCACCACCACCACCACCATCATCATCATCATCATCATCATCATCATCATCACCATCCGTCATCCGTCATCCGTCATCCGTCATCCGCATCATCATCATCGACGACGTCATCGTCGTCAGCGTTAGCCTCAGCATCAGCATTAGCATCGGCATCGGCATCAGCATCACCATCACCATCATCATCATCATCATCATCGTCGTCGTCATCATCATCATCATCGGCATCATCGTCACCATCGTCGCTACCGTCACCATCACCACACCATCATCATCATCATCATCGTCATCATCATCATCATAATCATCATTATCACGGTCAGCATTATCATCATCAGGATCAGCATCATCATCATCATCCGTCATCATCATCATTAACATCGTCATCATCATCAGTATCATCATCATCATCATCATCATCATCATCATCATCATTACCAGCAGCATCATCATCATCCTCGGGCCGAAAACAGAGAACAAGCTTGGGGCCCGTTTACTCCGAAAGTCATTTTCGTTACCCGGTGAGTTTTGAGAGACAGAGGGCATCGGATTTCTGGGGGGCAGGAGGGAGGAGGAGCGAGTGGAGGAAGCGCCATGCGCCTCCCAGCCCAGAGCGTCACGATGGTTTCCATCCGCGCCAGGGTGCCTCAAGAAGAGGAGGAGGAGGACCAGTGTCCCTCCTCATGGGCCCCTGCAACAAAATGGTCATTGCGGGGAGTTCCCCGTTGGAACATAAATGGTCGCGAAGATTTTTAGTTACGCCAAAGCACCGGATGATACTGAATCGTGCCAGAGCGCGGTCCCTGGGACTTCAGCACCGCGACTCAGCACGGCCGCTGTGTCCTCGCAATCCCTAAAGCGTGCCAGAACGCCACTCCCGGGATTTCAACGATGCGAATGTTTGAAAACGCGTTGTAAGCGTGTGCGGCGGATGTGGGCGACGCTCAGGCGAGAGTCACATCTTGAAACGTCGTCGCCCTCCATATTTGAACCTGTTGAAAACCTTCAAACGACTGCGCGCGGCGCTATGGCGAGAGCCACATTTTGAAAGCGGCCTGCCCTCAATCTTTGCAATTGCTCAGACATTTCAAGGCGAAGGCCCGCGGCGCTCAGGCGACAGGCACATGTTCGTCATCCATCCGTGAGACCGTTGCACATCTCAAGTTTCAGGTTCGCACATCTCAGGCGAAACGCCCGCCCCGCCCGACCAACACGTCTAGGGGTGCGACAGAGAGGTGTTGACCATTCATTAGGAGCAGCTGTGCAGGACGAGGCGAGGAGGCAGGCGAGGAGGGTGAGGAGGAGCAGGACGATGGGGTCGGAAAGGGGGAGTGAGGCTGATGTTACTCATGCTGATGATGCTCATGATGAGGATGATGATGATGCCGATGTCACTGTCAACGACGGTGATGACGATGCAGATGAGAATGACAATGCTAGCAATGATGATGTGGCAGCTGTTGATATTGATGATGTTGATACTGACGATACTGATGCTGATGATGATGTTGATGCTTATGACGCTTTTGACGATGCTGACTATGATGATATTGATGTTGATGATGATTATCATGATGATGAGGACTATACTGGGGATGATGCTGATGCTTGTGATGGTGATAGAGACGGTCATTGTGATGCCGATGCTGCTATTGCCGTTGAAGATGGGGAATGCGAGGGTGACGACGACGATGATGAGAATGATGCTGCTGATGATGATGCTGCTAATGATGATAATGCTGACGATGATGATGACGATGACGATGCTGCTGCTGATGAGGCTGACGATGAGGATTGTGATGATGCTGATGATGATGGTGATGATGATGGTGGTGGTGATGATGATGATGATCACGTTGATGGTGATGGTGATGATGATGCCTCTGCTGATGATGATGCTGGTGCTGATGATGATGCTGATGATGATGACGCCGATGATGATGACGCCGATGATGATGATGATGATGATGATGATGATGATGATGATGATGATGATGATGATGCTGATGATGCTGATGATGCTGATGATGCTGATGATGATGACGACCAGGATGCTGATGATGAGGATGATGATGATGCTGCCTCTGATGATGATGATGATGATGATGATGATGATGATGATGATGATGAGGAGGAGGCGGAGACAACAGGAGGGAGGAGGACCAGGATGATTCGGGGTGGCTGATCAGACATACTGGGGAGATGGCCCAGCGGAAGCCTGAGATGAGGCTGATGCTGCTGTGGATGGTGGTGGTGGTGGTGAAGATGGTGGCGGGGATGATGAGGAGGACTCTTTGTGAATGGATCTCTCAAGCTTTCCGCCGCCTCTGGCGGTGTGCGTTGCGAGCAGGAACGCAGCAGAACCACAGGAAAGCGCGGCAGTGTAGCGGCGGCGACGGCAGGATGCACGAGTCCCTAGCTGCGCGTCGGGCCTCACCCCGTCGGCCGTCCCAGCTTGCGCGCACAGATGGCACGCGTGCGGCATGCCCGCAGGGGCCGCGTGGCCTTCCCAGGCCGCCTGGCCGCCCCGGGTTTTGGAGAGTGGCTGGACGAGGCTCTCGGTCGAGCAGTGGCGAAGCGTTCCTGCTCGCCTAAAGGCCCACCAAATAATGTTATAAGAACCTTTCGTGGTTCCACGAGGTGTTTTTAGAACATTTCTGGCTGAGACTGTCTTGCTTTATTACATCGGGAGTATGTTCTCACAAATAGTTGTTCTTAGAACATTTTTGAATTCTAAGAACATGTCGTAGTCGGCCTGTAGGAATGCCGGGACGGTTGGTCCCTGCTCAGCTCTCGGGGCTCTCAGCTGACCCCCTATTCGGGCGCGCGCAGAGGGAGGTAGGGGGAAGGGGAAAGGCTTCTGAGAACCACCCCCGCTTCTTGGTCGGCGCGGGCCTTGTCTGTAGATGTAGGGCATCGCCCCCTCCCCCTACGTACCCCTCTCTGCGCGCCTTCAACCTTTGAGTCCTCGAAGACCCGAAGTGCACCGGTCTCAGACCGAAGGGCTCGGAACGCCAAGATATTAACGCCCGAGGAGCATCCCCTTTTGGCCAATTCGAGGGCCTCGTGGAGAGCGTCCTCGGGGTGTGCTCTGTGACGAACCAACAACACATACCCATACCCATAGGGGGGTCGGAGAGGGCTAAGGGTGCGTGTTGTCGGATGGGGGTCCCCGCTCGAACGGGAGCGTTCCCCAGGTCCGACAACCCGCACCCATACCCATAGCCAGTCCTCCTCTCAACGACCCCCCTATGGGTATGGGTGTGTGTTGCTCGTTCGTCACTCTGGGCCGCTGGAGGCCTCTCTTGGAACCCATCGAGGCCCTCCTCGGTGGCTCGTTGGGTGCGCCTCGGGGCAGTACCGGCCCCCCGTCGTTGGCGGAGGCCTTCCCGGACCGTCCTCTCTCGGGGGCGGAAAAGAGGGGGGTGATGATTGGGGGGGGGGTGGATATCATGGCGGGGGCAATGAGATTTCCCCAGATTTTATGGCGCCTCTTCTTATTTCGTTACGTCCCTGGCCCCCCCGCTGGGCCACGCACATGCCGCCGGCCATGATTTGCACCCCCCCCTCTTGGACGCCCCCCTCTTGGCCGCTCCCGACTCTCTGGGAGCGCTGGGGGAGCTCTGGAGGGCGCCAGGGCAGCCTCGGGCCGCCGAGGCAGCCTTGGGCTACGATGCTGCAGCCTACTCTATAGAGCCCTGACCGCCAGAAAGAGAGTTCTGAGCACCAAGGAGGTACCGCGAGTGCAGCGCATGCGGGAGGAGGGAGCCGTGCATGCGGGGGGGCGGGGGACGGGGGCCCTCGGAGGAGAGCGCGGAGGCCCGGAGGGCCATGCCGCACCCGGCGTGCCTGCGCGCCTCCGCGTGCCTCGGGGGCACGGGGCCAGCGCAGGGGGCCGAGCCGCGACATCCTCGTGGCCCTCGCGGCGCCCCCCCGGCCTCTCGCAATGTGCACGATGCCCCCCGGCCCTCCCTCCTTCGAGCGCGTGCCTAGGGCCATGGCCCTCGAGCAGCAGGGGGGCAGCACGAGAGAGATCTTCGGGGCTCCGCCCGGAGGTCTCCGGCCGACGCTGCCCCCCCCCCCTCCCCGCCCCAGCCGGGCGCCGGAGGCGCCTGGCGCCGCGGGGGGGTGCCAGCCTCCGATCCGCGAGATCTCCACGCGGAGCCCAGACAGTGTCACAGGTTTCTGCGTCTTGCTGCTCCTCGGGATGCGTCGGCCCCCCTCTCGGGACTGGTTTCGATTCCTCCGATTCGATCTCCATGGCGTCCGATTCCGATTCGACTCGATGTCGGATTCCCACTTGGGGCTCCGAGTTCTCAGTGGTGGCCTACTGGCCTGCCGAGTTCCGCCGATTCGACTCTTCCCGACTCGGCTGCCGATTCGAGTCTGGGCTCTCCTGCCCTCGTCCTGACCGCCCTCGGCGCGCCCGACAGCCCCTGCTCAGCCACGCGCACAAGGGGGCAAATTGGGGGGAGGGGGGAAGGCTTCGTAAAGAAGCACCCCGGCTTCTCTTGAAAGGCGCGGGCTTGGTCTGTAGATATATAAAGCGGGCGCCTTCTGAAAAGAAGCCTCCTCGGAGGAGGCTGCTTCTCAGAAGGCGCCCGCGGGGGAGGCTGCCTCCGCGGGCTGCCTCGGAGGAGGCTCCTCCTGAGAAGCCGCCCCCCCTCCTGGTATACCCCCTTGTGGGCGCCAACAACATGCCGCGCCGCGGAAGCGCCGCCGAGCGCAGGAGCAGAAGCACAAGCTCCTCCTCAAACGCGCTGCCGTCGCAGACGATCGGCCCGCCGAGAAGGCGACCTCGGACGGGCCAGGCTTCCTGGAGCTCACCAACGTTCAGGCCTTTGGGGAGGGAAGTCGGGATCATCGGTGACCGGTGGTTCAAAGGTGGGGTCCTGAGGGATTGGGTCTCAAGGACGAGGCGCCTCAAACAACGTAGATCCACCCTGGGATCCCTTGCTATCCTTCGATCCCCATCCCTCAGGGCGCCTTTTTTGGAGCACCGAGGTGAATAACAACTTGCATAAGCATAGACAGAATCTCGCAGCTGCGAGACGATTTTTTCGATCGGCGCAGGCCCCCTCTGGCCCGCCTCGGGGCCCATAGCCGATGCAGTAAATCAGCGCGGAGCTCGGAGGGTTTGCCGTTTCGCTGCGTTGTCTTTAATTCGGGGAAGCGTGAGACTCGGGGAAACCGGAGCTCGGGTTTGCGGACGTTCTTTGACGAGCGCATCCTGGGTTTTGACGGACCAGTTTTCTTGGGATGTCTGCAGCGGGAGCCCGCGTCAAATCTCAGGCTGGGTCGCGCCGCTTTGGTGATGGCCCCGTCCAGCCAACCGAGCCCCCCTGACCCGAATCTTTCCTTGCAGAGAAAGCAGTCTGCTCATCCTTCGGGTCGGCCGGCTCCCCTCACTTCTTTCGTCGCAGCCGCGCGCGAAGGTGCACGCAGCGTCAGAGGTCAACCCGGGCTTCGGGCGAAGCCTCATTGCCCAGCGGACGCCGGCTCACCTCACGCGGTGCCCAGAAGGCCCGAGCGCCGGCTTCTGCTCGCGCTGTAGCCCTGGGGCGGCAGTGCCCCGGCTGCCTGGCGGCCTCGGAGTGGGGACGCCCACCGGAGCGGCACCGGGACGTGGTTGGGACTCCTGGTGCGCCCTCGTCGCTACGTTTGGAGTCTCCTCGAAGAGCCGCCTGCGGCAGGTTCGCGTCGTGTCGACCGGCGGCGACCCCAGCGCGGGCGTTTGAGGTTGAACGCCAACTGTGGCTCAGAATCGGCCCATCCTTGAACGATCCGGCCTTTTTGAAAGAACTGATCGTTCAAGTTTGAACGATCCCCGCGGTGTCAGGAACCAACGCCGGGGTCGACACGACGCGAACCTGCTCTAATGCGCGCCTCTTAGAGATGTGTGTGTATGTGTGTGTGTGTGTGTGTGACCCTCCTTGGGCTCGCCTAGCAGATCTGTTGACGCTGTGAGAGAAATTCATCACGATGTGGAACATGAGGAGGGAGGGAGGGGGGGGGATGAGCATGAGGAGGGACGGAGGATCGGGGAGGGGGGATGTGAGATGGAGGTGATGGGCAGGAATATGCTGGATGAGAAAGAGAGGAGAGCGTCTGTGGGATGACGTGGATGAGGAGCAGCGGGTGTGAGGAGGAGGAGCAGCCACGAGGAGGGAAGAGGCACGCGGAGGAGGGATGGCAGGAAGCAGGGAGGGAGGGCGGTCGGAGCGGGAAGGGGGGGAAAGACGGAGGAGGAGGAGCAAGGGGGGTGCGCCAGGACATAGACCGGATGATCGAGGAGGCGGGGCGCTGCGGAGCCGCCTTCTGCGCGCGCGGGGTGGTGTGGTGTGGTGTGGAAGCGGGATTTGCCGCTGCGACCTTCTTTCGCCTCCCTCCACCTGCGCATGCCATCTCTCTCTCTTTCTCTCTCTTTGTTTTGTTTCTCTCTCTCTCTCTCTGTCTCTTTTGTTTTGTTACTCTGCATCTTTCAACATCGATTCCTCTTCCTATATTTTTGCAAGCCCGGGGGGGGGGAAAACCATCACCCCCCCTAAAAAAAATTGTACCCCCGGGATCTGGGGTTCTCGGGCTCCCTTGGACGTCCGTGGAAAAGGTCACCCCGCTTTCCGGGTCTCCACAAACGCCTTGCCAGCAGACCCAGAGCGATCCGAGGGGTCATCAGGGAGGCCCCAGACAGCACAAGAGCGCTCCAAGAGGGACGCCACTTGCGTCAGGACGGCCCGCAAGACCCCCAGGGCACCCCAAAAAGCTTTCCAAGGGGCCTTCAAAGCACAAACATCGTCCCATTCCCTTTCTGTAAAACTTACAATTTTAGCATATTCGCCTTTCGGATTTCATCAGCTTTCAAGACGGTTTCAAAGCCCCCGAGATCGCCTCACGACGCCCCAAAAGGCCCCCAAGAAAGCTTCAAGACGGCCGAGCCGGGCCCCACGATCGCCACGAGGGCCCCAAGACAGCCCATAATGGAACCAAGACATCCCCAAGGGCTCCCAGCACAGACCCGAAAGGGCCATGGGAGGTCCCTGGAAATGCCCAAGATGGGTCCGAAGGGGGCTCCAGCGGGCCCACGCTCCCCAAGACGGTCCAAGAAGGCCCCAGGACGGCCCATGAAGGCGCCAAAACGGCCCACGAGGGCCCCGAAAACACCCCCACGATGTTTCCGTACGCCAACATAAAGACACCCAACGCACCCCAAAAAGCTTTCCAAGGGGCCTTCAAAGCACACAAATTGTCCCATTCCCTTCGTAAAACTTACATTTTTAGCATTTTTGCCTTTCGGATGTCATTAGCTTTCAAGACGGTTTCAAAGCCCCCGAGATCGCCTCACGACGCCCCAAGAGGCCCCCAAGAAAGCTTCAAGACGGCCGAGCCGGGCCCCACGATCGTCCACGAGAGGCCCAAGACAGCCCATAATGGAACCAAGAGGCCCCCCAAGGGCTCCCAGCACAGACCCAAAAGGGCAATGGGAGGTCCCTGGAAGTGCCCAAGATGGGTCCAAAGGGGGCTCCAGCAGGCCCAAGCTCCCCAAGACGGCCCAAGAAGGCCCCAGGACGGCCCATGAAGGCGCCAAAACGGCCCACGAGGGCCCCGAAACCACCCCCACGATGTTTCCGAATGCCAACATAAAGACCCCCAATGCACTCCCAAAAGCTTCCCAAGGGGCCTTCAAAGCACACAAATTGTCCCATTCCCTTCGTAAAACTCACAATTTTAGCATTTTCGCCTTTCGGATGTCATCAGCTTTCAAGACGGTTTCAAAGCCCCCGAGATCGCCTCACGACGCCCCAAAAGGCCCCCAAGAAAGCTTCAAGACGGCCGAGCCGGGCCCCACGATCGCCCACGAGAGGCCCAAGACAGCCCATAATGGAACCAAGAGGCCCCCCAAGGGCTCCCAGCACAGACCCAAAAGGGCAATGGGAGGTCTCCGGAAGTGCCCAAGATGGGTCCAAAGGGCGCTCCAGCTGGCCCAAGCCCCCCCCAAGACGGCCCAAGAAGGCCCCAGGACGGCCCATGAAGGCGCCAAAACGGCCCACGAGGGCCCCGAAAACACCCCCACGATGTTTCCGAATGCCAACATTCATTGATCTTGCTCCCATGACATTTCACACTGTGACCCAGTCGTTGAGGGTCTCGTGGCATGCAGCGAAGACGCCCGAGGATGGCCCCGTACGAGTTGCACATGAATGTTCATACCCTTACACACATACATTCATGTGTACATATGTACGCTGCATACACACATACAACAATGTAAGTATATTGTATACACCTAGACATTCATACAGAACGTGCATGCACGTGTGCGTGTATACATGCATGCGCACATGTACGCACGCACGCATTCCGCTTGCGTGCAGAACTCAAAGGACCAAGGTTCATGGCGCGCAGCACCAACGCAGTCTTGTATGTGTATATATATATATATATTGGTATATCTATGTACACTGACAGGTGTGCGTATGATGATTGGCGCTCTGTATATCTCTCTCGTTCTCGTAGTCTGGTTTCTCCCCTCTCTCTCTTCCTCTATGCTGTGTGTTTGTTATTATTTCTTTGTTGTTCTCTGTCTATCTCTGGCCTTCCCCACTTCCTCCTCTCCTGCGCTCTCATCATGTATGTTTCTGTCTCTCTCTTTTGTTCCTCCTCCGTGCAGGAGGGGGAAAGGGGGTGCAGGGGAAAGTGGAGGATGAAGGGAGGAGAGAGCACATGCTGGAGAATGGAGGATGGTTGGGAGGTAAGGGAAGGGTGTTTCGTGTTCTCTTTGACTACAGTCAGGCGTTGCGTGAGCTCGCCCTAAGGTCCGTACGGCACGCCAGGAGCGTCTGGTTACCCGAATCCTCAATTGGGCGAGGGTTGGCAATGTCCTCAAAGCGTTGGAGATGACCCTAAAGACGGCCGCAGAAAACCTAAGGTCGCTCGATCATCCAAAGTGCTTCCGAGAGGCCCCGAGACGGTCCCGAGAGGCCACTGACAAGGGGCGAACTGGCATCCATTTCGCCGCTTCCCTGGGCCCCGCGGCAGCCGAGCAGTTCGTCAATGCCGACCAGTGGGGCCAACGGGGCCCTCAAAGAGAACGTCACGCGCGCACCGCGCCGGATGGCGAACCAGAATCAAGTCGCGATTTTTGTTCCGGCACCTGGCGAGTCCACGATTGCCTCGCAGCGTCCAGGGTGGCCCCCCAAATACGGCCCAACATAGCCTGAGATCGCTCGAGATAGCTGCCAATACGTTTCGAGAGGCCCCGGCAGCGCTCCAGGTCGGCCCCGAGAGGCCGCGGGAAGGGGGCGAAGTGGCAACCACTGCGCTGCTCTCTCCCTGGCCCCGCGGCCGCCCGCCATATATTTCCAGAGTCGAGGAGCGGGGCCAGCGAGCTTTTCAAAAGGGATATGACGTGTTCCATGTTCCAGAAGGGAAAAAACACACAGACACAATGAATCGTCGATGCCCCAGAAGATATGGGAAGACATGGGAAGTGTGGGGGGTGAGACAGAAGCCCAGAAGATATAGAACAATGTGGGGAATCTGGTTATTTGTGTCTATATATTTGTGTGTCCCAGTTCCCCTTCGATGTTGGAGGTCAAACTGGACTCGGATTCGCCTTTATCATGGGGCTGGGGAATCCAATGTGGCTTCCACATGGCCCACCATCGCCAGGGCCGCGCCGTTTGTTTTTTCACCGTGTCCGAACAGCTTCTTGAGCATGGAAACTGTGAAAAAACGGCAACGGGAAACGGCAAGAGAACGGTTGCAGGATTGGAGCTGGAGGCAGAGCGGGAAAAACGAAATGGCGACGGAACCGACAAGACATCGGCGGCGGAACCGGCAGCCAAAACGGCAAGACGGAAGTGGTGCAAGCATTGCCCTGTCGTTTCCAGGGCCCACCATGCCGTGGACTGGCGACTGGACTCTGCCGGGGGAGGACAGCTCTGTTCCAGAGCGTTCCACAGCGCTCTCAGAGCGTTCCGGAACGCTCTGAGAAGGCCTTGGCGCCCGAGGCATCTTCCGGAGCGGCCGAATCTCAGATATTCCCGATGCATCCTTTCGGATGCAACTCCTGGGAGGTCAAATTCTGATTTTGCCCCGGTCCGAAATCCGGCTTAATCTGGCTTAATCCCGCTTAATCCAGCTCAATCCCGCTCAATCCCGCTTAATCCGGCTCAATCCCGCCGCTTGATCCGAGGCCCATTCAGGCGTAACAGCCTTCAATTGGGCTTAATCCTCCTTGTTCCTTCCGACGAAGACTTCCCAGTAGCTGCCTCCTAACATCCTCCCGTGATGTTCGGGCCGGACGAAAGGGGGGAGTGGGAAAGGGGGGGTTACGAAATTTGCTGCATGCAGCTAGTTTCGGCCCCACCGATCGAGGGGCCCATTCCTCGATGCATAGCTCCATCCGGCGCCGGGAGGCGCCGCGAAAATCAGCTGCGCGAGCCGATTCTTAACCCCCCCCCTTTGGCTATCCCCCCCTTCGCCCGACACGAGATGTGATCCTCGTCCTGGCTGCGTCTTCTACAGCTCCCTTGCCTCCTGGTGCCGTGGGCCGGCGACGGGGCTCTGCCCCCCCATGCCGTGGGCGGCGGGGCGGGCGAGGGCGGGCGAGGGCGGGCGAGGTAGGGCGGGGGCGGAGGATGCGACTCAGGAGGGGGACGACACACACACGGACACAAGTCATCGTCGAGTCCCCAGAAGATCTGGGAAACTAATGGGAAGTGGGGGGGGAGGCAAAAGCCCAGGAGGTATAGGAAAAGATGGGGGGGTCCCAGTCTTTGTGTTTGTTTACTTGTGTGTCCCAGGGCCCCTTTAGCGACGCGGGGCACGGCAGTGAACGCGTCCTCCCGTGTGCAGGGGCGCCCTCGAGGGCGCACAGGTAGCTCGCGCGTCGCTTCTCGCGGTTCTCAGAGGAGGAAGAGATGCTGCTGCCTCTGCCCATCGCCCGTTTGCCCCTACCCTGGGCCTCCCGGGGGGCCGTCGTCGCCACCGCTGGATCCGCCTCGAGCTCCTGGTCGGAACGCGCCCCGGGAGAGGTCCGGGGAGTAGCGGTGTTGGTGGTTTTTGATTCCCCAGGCTCGGCTCCGAGTCCTCCTCGTCCTCTTCTCCCCCGGGGGCGGCGCGAGAGCGCGGAGTTCTTCGCGCTTCGCGCAGCGCGGGGCGCGAAGTTGGGCACCCCTGAGGGTGGCTGTCGGCCTTGGAGCGTCCACAGCAGGAGCGTCACGGAGGCGGATCGGGGGCTGACTAGGGGCGGCCCATCAAGAGAGCCGGGAGGCCCCAGTCCCTTGACTGGATGATCGTGCTCGGGCATTCTGCTCGTCCGACTTACGCTCCAGCGGGAGGACAGGGAAGGCAGGAGGGAGAGGAAGGAGGATCGTGAGGGAGGAGGATCGCGCAGCAGGGGGGGGCGGAGGGACAGGAGGAGGGGGGGCAGGAGCAGGGAGGAGCGACAAGAGGTGCGAGGAGGAGCGCGGAGCAGAGGGGGGAAGGGGCGAGGGAGGAGCACGAGGGGTGGGGGGCGCGGCAGGGAGGAGGATCGCGCACCCTTCCCTCGGTCGGCGCAGAGTTCTGTGGCAGCGCGGGGCCTCGGAATCTCGACATCTCCGGGGGGGGCCGGCCTCTCGCCCGGAGCCCGCTTCTGCCGACGGTCCCGGGGCCCGGACACGGCCTCCGGAGGCCGAGAACGCGCAACACGCAGCGTCACGATTTCTGTTGTGGCGACGTCTGGACTCCTCAGGCTCCTCCTCCTCCTCTTTCCCCTTCCTCCTCCTCCTCCCCCTCCTCCTCCTCCTCCTCCCCCTCCTCCTCCTCCTCCTCCTCCTCCTCCTCCTCCTCCTCCTCCTCCTCCTCCCTGATGCCCCTACGTGGCTAGACAAGCCCCCCTCGTTCCTTGTTCCGCGTCCCTCTAGTCCAGGCCTCCCAGATGGGGTCCGAGCAGGTGGGGTCTGGGGATCGCGCCGCATCGCGGATGCCTCGGCGATGCGGCCCGATGCAGGGCCCGATTTCCTCCACGCCGACGTCGCCCAAGGCATCGCCAGCGTCGCCGATGTTTCGTCGCTGCACTTGGTGATCGATCGACGATGGAGCTCGATCCTCTGGCTCCATCCGCTCCGGGGTCCCATCTGGGAGGCCTCTACAGTCGGGGCGCTGGAGAAGGAACCCCTTTCCGTTCAGGAGGGGCCTGGTGCTCCTTGATTGCTTCACAGCGTGCCTCTGGCCTTCCTGAGGCTTTCCATGGGGAATCGAAGTGCCACCTATGGGAAATGAAAAGGGGCCTCGTTCCTTATCTGGGGTTCCTGAGGTCAACGCCCCGACGGTATACTGGCAGCACGGGGGCTGCGGGAGCCGATGGGGCGCGCGGGGCAGCGGGCGAGGAGGAGAGCGGCGCCCGCCCCCACCTGCGAGGCCCGCGCGAGGCCCCCGAAGCCGCGCCACGAGGCCCCCTCGGGGGAGGGCGCGGAGCGGCCGGCCCAGGACGGCCCGCAGCTCAGAGGTCGGCGGGTCAGAGAGGGGGTCGATCGAAATGGCTGCTGTCAAGCAGTGGCGAAGCGTCCCGGCTCGCCTACAGGCCCACTGAGGAATGTTCTAAGAACCGGTTGTGGTCCGCACGACCTGTTCTGAGAACATTTCTGGCTGAGTCTGTCTTGTCTTAACGCATCCTTTCTATGTTCTAGGAGCAGTGTTTTGTTTTTAAGAACATGTATGGGTTCCAACAACATCTCTTGGTAGGCCTATAGGAATGCCCGGACGGTCGGTCCCTGCTCAATACTGACAGAGTGGGTACGAAGACCAGCAGCGATTCCTGCCCATTTTGAACAGGACTCGCTGTCGCCGTCGCCGTGGACGCTGTCCGTTTGAGACAGAAGGCCGCCTGCCCAACGGCCGTTCGCTGCCGGTTTTGGACAGCATTTGTTGGGCAGCGTACCATTTTTCCCGACAGTGGAGGCCCATACCAAGAAACACCCTGCTTGCCTCCTTGGCGCCCTGGGATTATTGTGTTTCGATAGGTTTGCCATGGGAAGCTTGACGTTAATATATGGTCGTCCTGGTGTCTCAGGGTTGGGTTTCTTGTGGAAGACTTCTTATGGTCAGGCCTCCACTGTACCCGTTTCGGGTGTCCGAAAAGATAGGGTCCTGAGGGATGGGGTTTCGATGGCGAGGTGCCTAAACAACCTGAATCCGCCCTTGGATCCCTTCCTACCCTCAGGCCCCCATCCCTCGGGACCCCATCTTCGAACCATGTACGTTGGGGTCCGATCGAGCAGAATTCGACCGCCATGCGGGGCACGGACTGGAACTGGAAACATGTGCGTTCAGGCATCGTTGCATGAGGGGAGGCAGGAGGAGGAGGAGGAGGAGGATGAGGAGGAGGAGGAGGAGGAGCAGGAGGAGGAGGAGGAGGAGGAGGAGGAGGAGAGGGAGGAGGAGAGGGAGGAGGAGAGGGAGGAGGGGGAGGAGGAGGACGAAGAAGAAAGAGAAAAGAGAGAAGCGCCGGGCTCCTGAGGGGAAGAATTGGTACCGAGATCGCCAGCGGTGCCTCGTTTTCGCTCCTGTGGGCCTCCTTGGAGCCCCTCTTCCGTTGGGGCTGCTCCGAGGTTCTGGTCAGAGCGCACCCTCGGGCGAGATCCGGGGAGTGGCGGTGTCTGTACCGTGCTGTCCCCCCAGCGGCGCCCGCGCGGCGGCTACGGCCGCGGACCATTGCAATCTACTCAACGGCACTGCAGCGGGGCATCTTGGGCGGGGCCAAGACCGGGACGGGTATTTTGTGCGGGGCGGTGTTTTGGAATGTTCCCCGGCCCGCTCTGGACGGGCCGCCGCGCCCGACACATCCCCCTGAACCGCCGGGTCTTAGAGATTCTGGATGTATCCCAGTCCGATTGTGTCCTGGTCTTGATTTCGTCTCAGTTTTCAGCGGCATTGTACTGAGTAATTGCTTCCTGACAGGTTTTGTGGACAGCGGCCAGAAGTTTCCTCTTCGGGGACATCCCTGGGGAGGGCACGTCAATGCCCGCGTCGGGGCGGTCGGGTTCGCCGGGTCGTTGGCTAGAGTGCCCGTTAGTTGTGTCCTTGTCGTGTGTGTGTGCGTGTGTGTGCTCAATTCGATTTTCTTCTCGCTGTTCGTTTACCTCTCTGCACCCGCGCGTGCTTGGTGCGTATGTGTGTTCTCCATCACGCGGCTGCACAAGCAAGCTAATTGCTTTGGGCCCAGGCCGCCATACAAGACTTTCGCTGCCGACTGGACCCTTGAGCGCGTCGGAGGGAAACGTGTATTGCATTTTCTGCGCGGCGGTCCCACTTGTTCACGAAGCTTGACGTCTCTGTACGCGCTATCTCCCATGCTTGTTGTTTTGCGTGCATTCTGGATTAACTTACGTTGCCCTCTGATTGCCGTCATAAGAACGTCGGATGAAGGTTGCGTCGTATGTGCGTGCGTACTGTGAGCGTGTTCTTTGTTGCTTTGAGGTCCCACCCTAACTGCACCAAACTTGCCAGCTCTGTAGTTACGCCAGCTCTGTACGCGATTGCACACACGGTTGAACATTTGAGCACGCATCCCAAGATTGCGTGAGACCCGCCGATCGCCGTCATCAGCGCGCCAAAGGAAAGCGCGTGTATATTTTGTGTGAGTGTGGGAATGGCAGGGAGAGAGAGAGAGAGAGAGAGAGAAAGAAAGAGAACAACAACAAGAGAGAAAACAATTAGCCGTTTTCCGCGGACACGTCTTACCAAACTCGCAGGTGGCCGCCTTGGGCCCGCTGCCTCAGCGCACAGGCATTCTTCTGGGTCATCCGCCCAGGCCAGCTTCGGCCGCTTGGCAGCCCAGCTACACTGAGAACGCGAAGTGGCTGCTTTCGCTGAGCTGCCCGCTCGCTCTGCAGCTGTTCGCTCTGGAGAGCACGTGGGATTCGGTTTGTGCCTTGTCTTCGTGCCTTGTCCACTCGCGATTGAAGTCGGGCGTGGCCCTCTACAGGAGAAATACTCAAACATAGCCAACAAATGGCCTGGGGCGATGTTTTTCCAGTATGTTTGAGCATTGCTCGAATCTTTGTTTGCTTTTTTCCTCCCGTCCAAAATCCGCCTGTAGGAGGACACGTCCGACCTGAACTTACGATCAGCCGAGCTCGCGTCATCTTGACCTGGTGTTTCACTTCTCGAAGTCGGCTTGCATGTGTCAATGCAACGCCACCGCTCGGATGGGATGCCCACCTCGCTAAAGTCGGGCGAAAAGTGCGGCGGCGCAGTCGCTCTCAACGAATACTTGCTCCCATCCACAATGGTGGGTGCAATTCATGTCTTCGTGCCCCGTGCGCTTTCCATCACGACTGTGGTGTCACATTGCCGGCGGAGGAAACAGTGTGTGTGTGTGTGCGTCCCCCTCCTCCCCCTCCTCCCCTTCGGCCGCCCAGCCCGAGACGTCTCGGCCCGGGCCGCCGACTCCGCAGCAGGCCGCGCTGTCCCTCGCGCGCCGGTCACTCGCAGGCCCCGCACCCGCCGGTCGCTCGCGCGAGGGCCGCCCGCAGGCCCCGCGCCCGCCCGCGGCTGCCCGGCGATGGCCGCCACCCAGAGCCGGAGTGGACGAAAGGGGGGGGGGCCGGGGCATTGTGAGGAGCATGCTCGAGGCCCCGCGCGGCGCGCCACACGTGTGGATCGTCCAGGCCACACGTGCGACGTTCGCGCGGCGATGCGCCGACGCAAAGCCCGAGGTAACTCTGGCGTGGATCCGACGTGGCGCCGACGTGAATCTGACGTGAACCTGACGTAAAGCCAGCGTGGTTCCGACGTAAGTTGGGTCTCAAGTTGCCGCGCGAGGCCTCCAGGAATTGCCTCCATACGGGTCAGAGGAGAGCCCGTATCGGATATCGCAAACCCAGGCTTCCCAGAATGGGCTGACGTGGATGGGGTCGGGTTTTTCGGCTCGATTCGGAGCCCGAGCTTTTCCCTCCCGACGACGTCGGCAATGCATCGGCGATGCGGCGCGATACCCCGACCCTACCTGCTCGCCTTCAGTTTGGGACCTCGCAGAGGGGACCCTGCCAGGTGGGCAGCACCTGCCCTGGGGGGCGCGTAATGGTGTTGCGATCAAGGGGAGGGGGGGGGGCCAGCGGCAGCGAGGGCTGCAGTCAAGGGATGCAACCCGCCCCCAGCCCCCGACGCTTGGCGTCTACTAAACGGCCCTGGGCGTTTGCTGAGCAGCCCCGCCCTGCTCGATTCCTCCCCTGGGTGCGTTTACGCAGCGGCCTCCCTTGGCGGGGTGTGGCTATCGTGTGTGTGTGTGTGTTTTTTGTTTGACTTCTACTTGCGGGCGAAGGGCCACCTTCAGGGCCCCAAGAAAAGGGGGCTACCTGGGGCCCAAAGAGGGGGGCCCCAAGAGGCCCCACGTGTCGCCCCCCCCCCCCCCCTCCCGGATTCGTACTCAGCGGGGCGTGGGCCGCGAGGGGCGGGCATGGCGCCCTCGTGCCGAGATGACGACGTGCCCCCCCCTTCCCCCCCCCTTCTCCTCCTCCTCCTCCTCCTCCTCCTCCTCCTCCTCCTCCTCCTCCTCCTCCTCCTCCTCCTCCTCCCCTCCTCCCCCTCCCCCTCCTGCTCCTTCTCCTCTCCTCCTCCTCCTTTCTCCTTCTCCTTCTCCCCTCCTCCTCCTCCTCCTCCTCCTCCTCCTCCTCCTCCTCCTCCTCCTCCTCCCTCCCTCCTCCCCCTCCCTCCGCTCGTCCTCGTCGTCCTCCTCCTCCTCCTCCTCCTCCTCCTCCTCCTCCTCCTCCCCCTCCCCCTCGTGCGACGGGCCGCGCGGGATCCCGCCAGAGGGCGGGCGCCCATCACGCGCGCCGCACCGCCACAGAGGGGCACGGGGCTCGTCCTCGTCCTGCTCTCCGCCCTCCTCGTCCTCCTCGTCCTCCTCCCTCGAGCTCCTCGTCCTCCTCGTCCCTCTCCCCTCCACCCCCCCTCTCCCCTCGTCGTGGTCCCTTCCCACCCCTCACAGCCTCCCGCCTCGTCCCCCCTCCTCCCCTCCCTCCTCAGATGCCCCCCCCCCCCCCCCGCCCCCCTCTGCCCTCCCTGCTTCCTCTCTTCTCCTGCCTCCCTCTCGCCTCCTTGCCGGGGGCAGCCGTTCTCTTCGCTGGCCGTCGTTCGAGGTGGGCGGATGCTGAAGTCTGGGCGTCCCAGCTTGCTCCGCCCTTGTTGTTTCCCGCCCGGCTTCGGGGACCCTCTCGGATCGATCCGGTTCGAGAGATGCCACAGGTCGGTCGGGGCAGTGACTCGAGTTGTGGTGCTTCGCGAAGTTCTCTCTTGTCGCGACGCCGCATGCCAGGGAAGGGGCGGTGCCCAGGGCAGGGGGATTCCACAGCGGTCGCTGAAACTATGTTCGTGGTGCACCCCCACATGTCGGGCCACTCTCTCCGAGCCCTCCCACGTCAGCGGTCGAGCGGTTTTCTTTCTTTTCCCTCCTCGGCAGGGGGGCGGGCGGGGACCCAGCTCACGTCAACGCCGTCCTACTTCTCGTCTCGACCCACTCCTTCCAGCCAACGGGTGCGCAGCCTGCCGCTTGTAGTGGGGGCCAGCGGCTGGCTCTGGCCACGGGGCGGAGCTGGGGCGGTGGGGCTGGCCGCCGGCCGCACCGCCGCAGCCCTTGCGCTCTCCTCGGGACACGCGCGCCCCCTCGCGCGCCGTGGGGCACGGGGGAGGGCAGCTGCTCACCACCCACCAGACCACCCCAACCCAACCCGAAGGCCTCCATTTGCCCTCCATTTCCAGTGGGGGGGGTCGGGGAACGTTGAAAAAACACATGGAACCCGTCCCCGCCCCAACCCGAGATTCGGGTCAAATTCGGGTCTTCGGGTTGGGTTGGGCTGGTCTGGTAGGTAGTCAGCTGCGTGCAGCCGCCGCGCTACAGTCCAGACGCTGAGGCAAGTACTTACGCAGACGTTGGCAGCGGGTGCTTCGGGGGCCTTCCTTCTTCACCAAACGAGCGCCTGTCCCTTCTCCTCTCTCGGCAAAAGGGCGGGCGGGGACCCACTGTACTGTCAACGTCTTCCTACGTCTTCTTGTTTCTACCCACTTCTCCAGGCCGGCGTTTATCACTGTGGGTTCGGGAGTAGCGCTGGTTTTCGGCGGTTCATCAGATCGTGGCCGAGGCTCGCCGCTTGGCCAGAAGAGCCCCTGCGTGGATTAGTTGGCCCCTTCCGTGCTGCAGCAAGAGGACGGCACTTTCCCCCCCTCGTCGTCCACCCCGGCGGAAGCGCGTGGCGGTTGTCGGCGGCTCCCTGGCGGGTCTCTCGGCAGCAGTCCTGCTGGAGAGGGAGGGGATGGACGTGTCCGTCTTCGAGAAGCGGGCCGACTACCAGCAGGTGACCGGCGGCGGCATCGTGGTGCAGAAGGTGGTGTGCGACCTGTTGGACGAGGCTGGCGAGGGGGTGTCTGGCACCGATCCCCGCCTGGCGCTGTCTGGCCGCCAGTTTCTTGATGAGCACGGGGTCCCCAAGTCTGCGATGGAGGCTCCTGCTGCGTAAACATAACAAGCTTTCGGTTGTCCGCGCGGATTTCTCGTATCGGCGCTTGGCGCCCCTGGCGGCGCTTTCGGCGCCGCCCCTGACGCTCTCGGCTCACCAGGGAGGGGGGTCGAGCTCCGATCCAAAAAATCCTCGCGGATCTCCCAAGGTACAGATTGTAAGGTTGCTTGTCCATTCAGGCCCCTCAACATGCGGGGAGCTGGTCGTCCGTATGGCGTGCTCTGAGGGCAGCCTTCAAGGTCGCCATGCAGCAAGCGGGTTTTGTAGGGAGGATGGTCATGAGGTTGCCCCCGTTTTCGGGCATCCGGGGGCCTCGGCGGGCCTTGGGACTGTCACAAAGCGACTCGGGGTCAAGACCCGGGTCCGCAGAAAAGGCCCCCGGATTCAGGACGTGTTTCCTTCAGGGCCCGCTCTCTTTCATGGTAGCCAGGGCCATTACCACGCAGGGGTGTCCGTTACTGGCGTCAAAGATGGTTCTTCGTCTTTGGCTTTGGTCGGCGATTTCGGCGAGCGCGACTTTGATTTTGTTATCGTTGCCGATGGCGGCGGTAGCAACCTCCGTAAGCAGCTTCTTGGGGAGGAGTTCGAGCCTCCAGCGTATGCTGGCTATGTGGCGTGGCGCGGGGTTGTGTCACCAGAGGATCTGGCGCCAGATGTCCACGATTTGCTAATGGACGGAAAAGTCAGCTTCTTCCATGGGGACAAGACTCACATCCTTCTCTACCCGATCCCAGTGCCTGGTGGCGTTGCGCTGAACTGGGTCTGGTATTGGAACATGCCCGAGGAAGACCTGCACTCGGTCGTGAAGGACTCGCGCTTGAGCCGGGAGGGCATCTTTTCGGTGCCCCCTGGCATGCTCGGCGAGCGCGTGGAGGAGGAGCTGCGGCGTCTTGCCAGGCTGGAGCTGCCGTCGAACCTCCGCAACGTCGTCGACGTGACGAAACAGCCGTTCCTCCAGCCCATTGTCGACTACAAGGCTCCCTACCTTCCAAACAAGCCCCACCCAACCCGAAGGCCCCAGATCCTTCCCAAGAGCCCCCCGCTGGAAGTTGACGGGCCCAACGGTGGCTTCGGGTTGGGTGGGTGCTGTTTGGCAGGTGGCCCAAGGCGCCTCGGATGCTGTTCCACGGCGGCAGGGCAGCGCTGCTGGGCGACGCCGCGTGCGTCCTGCGGCCCCACACCACCTACGGCACGGCGAAGGCGGTGGAGGAGGCGAGGGGCCTAGTCGAGGCCATGCGCGCTGGCGGCGGCGGCGCCCTGCAGGAGTGGGAGGCGAGCGCGCTGGCGCGCAACGAGAGCCTCGTGCGCTACGGCGACTTTCTGGGGCAGTCGCAGCGGGACAGGGACGCGCGCGAGAAGCTGCGGTCGCTGCAGGTCGGAGGGGGAGAACGTGCCGATACCGCTGCTCGTCCTGGAGAGCTCTCGTCACCGCGGGTGATCAGAACGCACCCCGAGAGAGGTCCCGGGGGTCAGCGGTGTCGGTACCTTTTTGCCCCTTCGGCAGGGGCAGAGGCTGGACTCATCGAGCGGGGCAGAGGCGGTGCTCGCGGCGGTGCGCGGTGGCGCGTGAGCGGCAGCGGGCTGTCGGGGGCCTTCTTGTGCTCCGCGGATGCAGCAGTGCTGGGTCTCTGGGGCGGAAGGCCGGTCAGGCTGGGCGATCGGGACTCAAGAGATGGGGGTCGATGCACACGGGGGTCAGTCAGAGCGCTGGATCTTGCAGGATCCTGCAGGGCCAGGGGCGCACTGACCTTGTGTTTGGGCGCAGGGTCCTGCATTGTACTGCATTGTCGGGGCCCTAAAGGCGAGGGGCGCAGGGTCCTGCAGGATCCCGCAGGGCCTGACTGACCCGGGTCTGGATCGGCCCGGGTCAGAAGATCCCCCGAAGCGAGGCGGAAGTTCGCGGGGCATCTCTACCCCGGGAGGCCAGCAGCGGATGTTGGTCGAGGCGACGGCGTCGGTCGGCTCGGCTCCTGCAAGCGGCGGTGCGCCGTTCTCGGGCCCGTGGCCTCCGCTGGGAGTCAGTGGCGGTCTAGGGCCCAGGTGAGCAACGGAAACAAAGCGGGGTCGTCGTCACCTCAATATGCGCGTAAGCTCCTCGCGTAAGGTCGCGCGTAAGCGCCCTCGTCTCCAATGCAGCGTGCCACGCGGGCGGCCCGCGTAAGCCGCGGCGTAAGGTCGCTGAGTCATCTCGCGGAAGGCCCGCTTTTGATCGTCGCTCAAGTGTGTCCAGGCTCGAATTCGTGCGGGATGGCGGCTTCGGTGCACAAGGAGCCAGGCGTGCGACCCTCACTGAGCACATTCGCCTGTCAGTCCGCCCATTCTTTCGATGAAGCTCCCCTCCACTTTTCAAAGCGGGTCACGCCACCCAGCTTTGGCCTTGTGAGTCGAGCGCGTAGTATCACACGTACGCAGCCGCCAGATGTGCGGACGCCTTCGAACGTGTTGATGGGTACTCTTACAGGCTCGTTGCAGTTCCCGTCAATAAAAGAATCCAATGTCTGCCCGGTCCACGCTGCGCGTGGCAAGGCCGCTGAAGTCAAGATCAGCTGCAAAGATGCATCGGCGTCGAGCAAGGGGGGGAATTAAGAAGGGGCGTACCTTCTCAGAAGGTTCGGAAGTCCCTCGGGCTTCCGAGAAATTTGCTAAGCCGTCTCCGAAGACATTAAAATCCTCTCAGAAGGCGCGAGGGCTTCTGAGAAGTCCCGCCGCTTTCTGAGAAGGCCTCCTCCTTTTCACTTCCCCCCTCGCTCGCCGCCAGTCTCAGCATTCCACCCAGGTCAATGTAGAGAGACGATCCATATTTGCCTGGAGGAGGGGGAGGTCACGCAGCAGCACGTTGGGTGGTGATTGATGCATCGTATTGTGTTCTGGGCCTACTCGTGGGCGCCCTGGTTGTCATTCAGCCTGGCTTCTGGCTGTCCCTTCATGTAGAATCGTTCCGAGCGGCAGACAGCTAGTCGTTTCCTCAGCAACTTGTTTTGTCAGGGCCTGTTCGGATGCAACTCCTGGGAGGTCAAATTCTGATTTTGCCCTGGTCCGAAATCTAGCTTCATCCGGTCTAATCCCGCTTCGCCCAGATGAATCCGGCTTAATCCCGCCTCATCCTGCTCAGTCCCGCTTTATCCGAGGCCCACTCCGGCGCAACAGCCTTCAACGGAGCTTAATCCTCCTTCGTCCTTCCGACGAAGACCTCCCAGTAGTTGCCTCCTAAGGGCCCGGGATCTCCCTTCAAGGCCAGTGGGTGCTTCGCCAGATGCCGCAGCCAGGGTTTCTCCTGGGCGGTGGCCTGCGGTCTTGGCCCGCGACCTTGGGCGGTTGCCCGTGGTCTCTCCGGTCGTGGGGCGCGGTGCCCGCTTCGTGGCCCGTTGTTTCTCTTGTCTCATTGTGAGTTGCCGTTGGCTCATGTTGAGTTGAGGTTGTCTCAACTCGCCCTGCTCCGACTGTCGGGCCGAACGAAAGGGAGGGATATGGAAAGAGGGAGGGACGAAATCTGCTGCATGCAGCTGGTTTCGGCCCCGCCGCTGGGCCCATGCCTCGATACGTGGGCGCCTCCCGGCGCCAGGAGGCGCCAGGAAACTCAGCTACGGGAGCTGATTCTCAAACCCCCCCTTTGCCGTCCCCCCCTTTCGCCCGGCCCGAGCATAGCCAACTGACGTGGGGCGCAGTGTCCGCTTCGTGGCCCATTGTTTCCTTCAGGAAGATATTGGAAAATATGGGAAGTGGGGGGGAAGACGAACAACCAGAACATATGGAAATATATTGGGAATCCTGCTATTTGTTTCTTTTTCTTTGTGTGTCCCATGGCCCCTTCAAGTATAGCCAACTGACGGCGGAGCAGATGCGGTCGGAGGATCGTGCCGCATCGCCGATGCATCGGCGATGCGGCTCGATGTGGAGCCCGATTTGCTTCACGTCAACGTCGCCGCTGCATCGCCCACGTCGACGATGCATTTCCGGTGCGTCGCCGATGCATCGCCGATGCATCGGCAATGCGGCATGATCTTCCGGCCCCATTTTCTCCGACCCCATCTAGGAGGCCCCCCTTTACGCACGAAGAGCCCATCGAGACCGAACAGTCCCATGGTGGCCACAAAGCCGCAACATGCACTTCCTGTCTGGGCCTTGCGGATCTCACCATCCTGTTCGCTGAACCCATTTGGAGGGCCGTGGTTTTTGTTGATCAGTTTGTTGCGCGTATTTTGATACTGGCGCTGGTGAGCAGTAAGCTTTGTTATGCTTTGACGTGCGTGCATCATTTATGGCATGACCCAACCACAACGGCTTGATACTGTTGTGCTAACAGTTTTTGATGAGATTTACATTGAATTGCTTTGGAGTGGAATTGCTTTGAATGGAGTGTCTTGCGCGCACGCTCGCGCGCTTGTGGCCAGCATCGTACTATTTCACATGGATGGGCAACATGGAGCAGCATGGGTTCTCCGCATAGCATTGTGTAGACAGGAACAATTCCTGGGCCGGATGCGATGACTAATCGAATCGGAAGATGCCCCATTCATACCGGTTGCGCTACGCTTCGCGATATATCGTCATGATTAATTAAGTAGGGGTTGTAGTAATTCATTCGTTGTGGCAAATCGTTCTTACTAGTTATCCGAACTTGTTCAGGGCCGCCAAATGTGTATTCCTCGGCTTAGGCCTCTTTGTCGGCGTCACTGTCGTCGTCGTCGTCCTCTTTCTCCTCGCACACCGTTCCTCTCTTCCTTCGCCCCCCCTACATCCCTCTCTCCCATTCTCCCCTCTCCCACCGGAGCCCCCCCCCGCCCGCACCTTCACCGAAGCTCGCGCTGCCATCCTTCCCCCCCCTCTTCCCGCCCGTCCTCTGTCCGCCGCTGCGCCCTCTGCCCCCTCCGCCACTTGGCACCCCGCCTCTCGGGCGGCCTCTGCCGCCCCCCCTCGTCGCCCTTCGCGGCCTTCGCGCTGCGCGTTTCGCGCCGCCCGCTGCTCCCCGGAGCGCGCCGCGCAGTTCGGCTGCGCCTTCCACGGGCTGCGCCATGGGCTGCCCCATCCGAGGGCTGCGCCGTGGTTTGCGCTGGGAGGTCGCTGGCGCGTGCGTCGCTCCACGGGCTGCGCCGCGCCACGCGCTGCGCCACGGGGTGCCCGCGGGCTGCGCCGCCGCTCCAGAGGCCCGCCCTCGCGAGGGCCCGGTTCTCCGCAGTCCTGCCCGGAAGGAGTCGGAAGAGAGGGAGGTCTGGAGTTCGGTAGGTTTCGGCGAGGTATGCCGGGACGAACAAACTCGAACGCAAACTTTCGATCTCTTCGCCAGCTCAGCTTTGCCGTAAGCTTGAGGCCGACGCCCCCGAGAGATGGGAGGCACCGGGGGGCTGGAGCCAGAGACGCCCGCTGCTCTCCCCGCCTCCCTTCGAATGGGCGCTTTGAGAGCGATTCTGCGATTGCGCGCCCAGCTGGGCGACTCGGGCGTCATTTCGTGCCCGATATGGAGTCCGCGCGCCTGGATCGACGAGCGTGGCGCGTCGCCCCCCTCCCACCCACTTGTCAAAGGATGGGATGCTACAGCTCGATGCTCGAAGCACTGATAACTGTGGGTACACCTGCAGGTGACTCGGGAAGCCCCTGCGAGAGATGTGGCAACACATATTTATGTTTCAACGAACGTTGGCCGTCGGACGCTCAAATATCTGTCTAACTAGTCTTTGAACACGCCTTGCTGTCGACACCGCACCAACATATTTATACTATATGTGCGTCGCCCCCGCAGGGGCGACGCGCGCACCGAGAAATCGTATTATATATTCGTCGTGGAGGGCGCTTTCTCGCCACACCGCTCGGGCAACGATACACTACAAGAGGGGTACACTATGTGTTCGGGTCGGACGCGCGCCTCCAAGGAGGTCGTATAGTATGTTGGATGTCCTTGTGCGCCCCATGCTACAGCTGTTACCCCCCCCTCCGTCGGCGCTCTCCTTCGTCGGCCCCTTCCGTCGCCCCCTCTTGATGGGCCTGTTTTCCGCCACCACCACCATAAGTTGGAGGGGGAAGGAGGAGGAGGACGAGGAGGAGGAGGAGGAGGATGAGGATGAGGAGGAGGAGGAGGAGGAGGATGACCCCCTCCCAATCCAACTTATGGTGGTGGTGGTGGTGGATAACGCGCCCATCAGTTACTCCCCCCTCCGTCGTCGCTCTCCTCCGTCGGCCCCTCCCGTCGCCCCCTCTCCTTCGTCGGCCCCTCATCTTCCTCCGTATTGCTGTCCTCTCGCCGCCGCCGCCCCGTTCCCTCCGCCGTCGCCCCCCTCGTCTCTCTCTCTCTCTCTCTCTCTCTCTCGGTGTCGCCTCCCTCCTCACGACGCCCGCTTCCCCCGGCCCCGCACGACAGAGGAAATGGAGGATGACAGAGGATAAGGACGAGCAGACGAAGGAGGACGGCGACGACGACGAGGACGACGACGAGGAGGCGTCGCAACAAAACAGCTCTGAAGCCTTTGAAGGCCGACAGGCCGCCATACCCATCCAGCCTGGAGCTCCGGCCTCCCCCCCCCTCCGCTCTCGCGCCCACGGGTCCTCCCCGGTCTCCCTCGAGGGGCGCCCGCGGGGCGTCGCTCTTTTGCGGCGTGCGCGGGGGAATCCGGAGGTCCGAGGGCCAGGTTCTGGCTTCTCCCCATCAAGTCTGGAGTTCCGGCACCCCCCCCCGTCGCTCTCGCGCCCCGGGGGTCCTCCCCGGTCTCCCCTCGCGGGGCGCCCGCGGGGCGGCTCTCTCTTCTGCGGCGCGCGCGGGGGGGCCCGGGAGGTCCGAGAGCCAGGTCTTTTCCTCTGCATGGTGCCTTGGCTGCTTCGGGGGCCTCGCGGAGGGGGGGGCTTCTCGTCGCCACGGCTGGCTTCGCCTGCAAATTTGGGCCAGGGCATGCCCCAGGAGAGTGCTGGGGGTCGATCTGCAGCCCCTGGACCCAGACATCTTTCAGGAGGAAAAGAAACACACAGACACAATCATTCGTCGATTCCCAGAAAATATTCGAAAATATGGGAAGGGGGGGGGGAAGGCAGAAACTTAGAAAATATGGGAAAATATGTGGAATAGTTTTATTTGTGTGTATTTATTTGTGTGTCCTAGGGCCCCTTCAGTCTTTCTTCTCCCCAAAGAATGAGAGGGGAGTTGATGAGGATTGGTGCAATGGCCATGACGACGGCGACCGTGTGCGACCGTGATAATATAGCGGTGACGAGAGTGATGACGAGGAGGGGGGCGATGGAGATGGAGGAGGATAAGGTGCGTTCAAGGTTCCCTTCTTGTTGTAGCTGCATCTGGTCTCAGTTCTCAGCCTCTTAAGGTGTCTGGCTTGGGGTGAGTCCACGTGGGTGCTTGCACCTCGAAAGTTGAGACTTGCATGAGGTCTGCAGATCGTCCCGAAGATTTCAGGGTTCTAGTTCTGTTTGTCGTGTTATGTGATTTGCTTGCCAATTACAGGGTTACAGGGTTGTTCGTTGATGTATCGTCGCGCATCCAGAATTTCTTTAACCATGCCAAAACCGCTCTATCTTCCCAGATGTGTCCCACCAGTGTTTGCATTTGCTTCGCCGTTCTAGGACGCTCTTTCGAGTCACGCCTCAGGCTCAACCCTCTGCCCTCCACTGTGAGATTTTGCGCAGCGTCCGCTCGCCATGCATGCTCCGCAGGACAGTGACGTCGTGGAGTACCTGACCGCCATGCAGCTGAAGTCCCAGAGGGAGCCCCCGCAGCGCCGGAATTGCCTCGTCCTGCGTCCGTTGGAGGGCGAGGTGAGACAACGGCAGTTGGCCTTCGGGCGGTGCCCTCGTCGCCACGGCTGGACGCACCTCAGGGAAGTCGTGCGTCTGGAGCCAGGGAGTGTTCTTGGGACCCATGTTGAGTTGCCGTTGTCTCAACTCGCCCTGCTCCGACTGTCGGGCCGAGCGAAAGGGGAGGATAGGGGAAGGGGGGGTTACGACATGCAGCTGGTTTCGGCCCCGCCGCCGAGCCCATTCCTCGATACATGGGCGCCTCCCGGCGCTGGGAGGCGCCGGGACAATTAGCTACGTGAGCTGATTCTCAAATCCCCCCTTTTCTATCCTCCCCTTTCGCCCGGCCCAAGACTGTCGCGCCTCGTCTCTCCGCTGCCACCAGTCGCGCGCCTTCTTCCTCTCCGCCCTCAGCTCTGATCGGCGCTGCCACTTCGTGGAGGCAGGCCGCGGCACGCAGGTGCGGCTGCGGTCCTACGCCCCAGGAGGGAGGAGGAAGCGAGAGAGAGAGAGAGCGCGCGAGAGAGAGGGCTACCCTTGTTCGAGTCGTTCGCAACAGGGTCTGATCGGTGGCACTGCTTGTTGATGTGTGCTTGGTGTCATGCCACGCCCAATCGCGTGTGTAAACTCGCGCGGCGAGATGCCCTGTTGAGACACGAGCCCCGGACTCGGGACCTCCGACGCCGCGCCTCGACACGCGGCATTGCTGGATGGGCCTGTCTTCCACCACCACCACCCTATGTTGGAGTGGGAGGGGGTCCTCCTCCTCCTCCTCCTCCTCCTCCTCCTGCACCTCCTCCTCGTCCTCCTCCTCCTCCTCGGCCTCCTCCTCCGTCCCCCCTCCGACTCCTAGTGGTGGCGGTGGAAGACAGGCCCATCCTTGCTTTCGCGAGGTGCTCCGGGCCGCGGCTCTCCTGCCGTCCGTCGCGAGCGGTGCAGCCCGAGAGCGCGCACCGCTGCTGCGGCTCCCTGCGCCACGGCGTCGGCGCTCCGCGCGCCTCCTCTCGGGCATCCAGCGAGCGCCTCGCGCCCGAGGAGGCGCTCCTCGTCCTGCTGCTCCTCCTCCCGCCCCGCGCTCTCCTCCTATGATCTCCCTCGCCTCCACACGCCCGCCGCCTCGCCCCCTCCCCGTTCCCCTCCTGCCTCCATCCCGCCTCCCGAGCTCCTCCCCCTCGCCTCCTCAATTCCCCCCCCCCCGTCTCCTCCTCCTCTTCCATCTGGCTCCCTCATCTTCTTTCTCGTCCCCGATCCTCCTCTCTCCTCCCCTCTCTCCTCCCCTCGTTCCTTCCTCGCTTTCCCTCCCCGCCCGCATGGGCCCGAATCAGGTTCACTTAAGATGCGGCCCACGTGGGGGTGAGTATACAGGCCGTTGCCCAGCAGTTCTGAGGCGGTGCCACCCCAATCGGCGCCAGGAGCGCCCAGCGGCCAGCGCACCGAATTTCCCCCTCCCTAGACCGACGACTGTCTTTGTTCGCGTCGCTGGCCCCTGTCAGGACAAGACATGGCCGCTGCTCAGTAGCAATACGGCCATCAGCACCCCAGGGGTCAGCACACTCGCGTACATGTTCATACTGCCATTCACTTCGATTGTGGTCAGCTGGCTCAGCTCGGCGGGTTTCGCGATGTCTAGCTTGGCGGTGTTCAGTGCGTCTCGTGCCTCCAGGCTCACATCCCCCAGGACAGAGTTGTTTGATCCTTGGCTGTTTGTTTGGACGGCCGGGAGTACACGGCCCCTGGGTGTCGAGTTTCTGCGAAACGCCTTTGTGCTTTCCTGCTGAGTCGCAAGAGGTCGGATGGTGAGGGTTTCCAGGCTTTCCAGGGATTTCAAGAGGTCCCCGGAGTTCCCTGGAGGCCCCCCGGGGGTCCCCGCAGACACCCAGAGGCCATCGGGAGCCTGCAGGCCTCCGAGGCCCCAAAAGTTGGAGACTTGTCCAGAGGACATTGCTCTTCAATGCCTCGCCCAAGAACCAAAAACTTCCCAGAATCCCTCGATGCCTCGAGGCCTCGATCGATGCCTCGACCGATCCTTCGTCCTCGTCCAAGAGGTTCGTCCTCGTCCTCGTCCGTGCCTCGTCCTCGTCTCGATGCCCCGATCGATCCCTCGTCCCAGAGCCTCGATGCTTGGGACCACTCTGCAGCCCGTTGAGAACCCTACCCCCGACGTGTCCAATCGACGCCAGCGTATCGCCCCCCCCCCCCCCCGCCCCCCTTAGTAACATAGTACACTTTCCTTGATCTGCACATGGCTGCAGACGCTCTCGGAATCCTGAACCCTAGGTGGCGTCTTGGAAATAGCAGGGGTACACGCCGGTCGTTGGAATTTTGTATTTTCGGGCTCCCAGATTCCAAGATGCTTTAGGCACCTTCCTACGTGAAGGATCGAGTGGCTTCGCCTTCTGCTTCCTCTTCAGGAGTCGGGCGGAAACCCAATTCTAACTCCATCGCCATCCTACTTGTTGTTTCTAGGGTTGAACGCCGTACTCGCCCTGATTCCGGCTCGTGTTGAGCGATCTGTGTTGTCAGAAGGCGGCGGTCGTTCAGGGTGGGACAACTCGCGCGGTGTCAGGAACCAATGTCCGTGTCGTCACGTCACGAACTGGCCATGATATGGGTCCCACTGGGTTGCCTGACCACACCTCTCCCTCTCTCCCTTTCTCTCTTTCTCTCTCTGTTTCTCTCTCTCTCTCTGTCTCGCTTTCCTTTTCTGCAGGGCGCATTTCGATTCGATCTATCTGATCTGATACCGATTGCGCCCGATGTGATTCGACTCCGGTAGCCCGCACGGCGTTCACGTGTGTCCTGTTGCGGCCGCTCCTGCTCGATCTCGGCTCCGTGCAGTCCGTTCCAACGCACATTCCGGTTCGATCCGTGTTCCCGATCCGATTTGCAATGCCTCGGCCCCGGCTACCTGGCCCCCTGAACCGCCGCCGTCGCGCGCGCGAGGAGGACAAGGGCTCCAAGCGAGTGGTCAAGAGCAAGGAGCAGAGGAGAGAGGACTACGAGGAGCAGCCGCTGGGCTGCCTGGTCCCCAGACCTCCAGCGTATGAAAAAACAACAGCACACGGAGTTTATCACCGTTTTCGGCATTTTGGGGCCGTCACAGACGACTCAGGATGAAAAGCTGGCCCTGGGAACTGTTTTGGACTTCTGAAGACCTCGTGTGAACAAAAAAGAAAGTAGCAGATCACTCTCGTGCTGACCAGCTAAAGGTAGGGGATCTCTTTCTGCCCTTCCGTCTGATCCGGGCAATGCTTAGGTCGGGCATGTCGTCCTGCAGGCGGATTTTTGGCGAAAGGTTAAACAAAACGCCAAAATGCCCCAAATAGTCAAAACATATTCAAAACATCGTCCCCAGACTAATTGTTTGACTATTTGGGAAGGTTCTTCCTGCGGAGGGGCGTGCCCGACTGGAGGCAATGCCTGCCGATTTCTCACGCCGGGCGTTCTCGCCAGTGTCCCCGGGGGACCCTCGCTGGTCGAGGCAGCTCGAGAGGTGCCGTAGAGTGGTGAGGGATCGATCGGGTTTCTCTCGTCATTCAGGAGGGGAACAAACACACACAGGCACAATTCGTCGTCGACCCCCAGGCAAATATGGGAAACTATGGGCAGTGGGGGGGAAGACGAACATCCATAGAATATGGGAAAATAGTTATTGGGAATCTGGGGATTCGTGTGTGTATTTAATTGTGTGTCCATGGGCCCCTTCAGTCATTTCTCACGGCGCAGCGTTCTTGTTTACGGAGGCCTGCCGGGCCGCTTGCCCCAGCCCCGTAGGGCCGCCAGCCAGGAAGTCGTTGCTGGCGGTCACAACGCTTGAGGCAGCAGAACACCCACGGACACCTGTCGGGCCCCCTGCGGGGAGCGCCAGCACGCTTATTCTGAGAGCCCGAGTCCAAATATCCTCTTGGCCTGACGCTTCCGGCAACTGAAAGGGCACTCGGCGCCACAGCCAGCGCTCGATACCGTCTTGCAACAGCGGGGGGAACTCAGACGGACAAATTTCGTACACCGATGTCGTTTCCCCGCGGGCCGAGAGCAGAACGTGCGACTGCCTTAGAGCCAGCACGCGTGGCGGGCAGGGGACATCTCGCATCAAAAGCGGAGCCGTGAAACCGATCTTTCTGGGTACAAGTGCAGACTCTCAGACCGCGAGCGGCGTCAATTCAGTATCGTTTAACCAATCCCCATCCCCATTCCGATCCCCATCCTTATCCCCACCACCCCACCACCCCAATTGGGGAGATGCCCCTCGAAGCCCGAAGGGAACCGCCTATATCCCCATCCAGTGGGGTAAATCGGCCAGTGGGGCCCAGGCCACGCCAGTGGGGAGAGGGATCGGTCAAACGATGCTCAGAGGGAGGAGGCAGAAGAAGAGGAGGAGGAGAAGGAGCAGTAGGAGAAGGAGGAGGAGGAGGGGGGGAGGAGGAGGAGGAGGAGGAGGAGAGAGGGAGGAGGAGGGAAGGAGGAGGAGGAGGAGGAGGAGGAGGCGGGGCGGGGATCGGGCTCGGACCAACGATGCCCATCAATCCGCCACGAGCGAGCGGCGCCCCGTGACGGCGACACTGGTGAGCCCCACGGCGCCCGCCCGAGGGCCTCGCGCGGCGGGCCTCTCAGCCCCCTGTGCGCCGCAGAGCTCCCGCCTCGAACCTCCTCGTCCTCCTCCTCCTCCTCCTCTTCCTCCTCCTCCTCCTCCTCCCTCCCTCCTCCCCTCCTCCTTCTCCCCCTCCTCCTCCCCCTCCTCCTCTCTCCTCCTCCTCCTCCTCCTCCTCCTCCTCCTCCTCCTCTCCTCTCCTCCTCCTCCTCCTCCTCCTCCTCCTCCTCCTCCTCCTCCTCCTCCCTCTCCTCCTCCTCCTCCTCCCCCTCCGCCTTCTCCTCCTCCTCCTCCTCCTCCTCCTCCTCCTCTTCCTCCCGCCCTTCCCTGGAGCGCCTCCGAGCGCGCATCCTGCCCGCCCCGACGTCCCCGAATCGTCCAGCCGGACCGAGGCACAAGATCGAGGTTCGGAGGTTGATAGACCTCCTACCCTGACACGTCGACTGGCGAATTGGCCGTGTTCGCTTCGCGAGAGGGCGTCGCGGCCGTCATTTGTGCGGGTTCAGGTCTGTCGGCTTCAGTCCTAGGCCGTTTTATCACTAAAGGGTGGTTGACCAAAGGAAGGTGTGTCCATCGCCTAGAGGTCAGTTCGTGGAGGGTAATTTCCCTGGTGCTCTTCGTGTTCGTTGGATGTTCGTGTACACCTTGTCCTGTACTACTTCTACCACCTGCTCGACACCGTCACTGAGCCCTGGCAGCGCCCGTGGGTGCGCCCTCCCCCCGGCCAGGCTGCTGCCACGGTCACCGCTGCCACTGCCGGCCGCCCTGGCCCGCTCGACGCGGAAGTTTCCACGTCTGAGTGTTCCTCCCCCCTCCGTCCTCTGCGCGGCCGCCCTGTTCCTTTTCCCTCTTCTTGCATGCCGGGCAATTCGCCATTCGGTTGCCCCGGCTTGCCGCACGCTGGAGCGGACCGCCTCTGCCTCGCCGCCGACGGACAAAAGTTCAGTGTGCACTCTGGGGAGGGTGACCTTGGATGTTCTGTGTGTGTTCTGGCCGAGGGAGGGCCTCACGTTCTGTCTTGTTGGTTTTTGGCCGACGGGGGGTCTCATGTTCTTCAATCGGCGGCGAGCGAGGGGGGGTAGTGAGAAAGAGAAGGTTCGGAAGCCCCCCGGCCTTCGGAGATGTTTCCTAAGCCTCCCCCGAAGACATCAAACACTTCTCAGAATGCGCGAGGGGGCTTCTGAGAAGTCCCGCCGCCTTCTGAGAAGGCCCCCCCCTCGCTCGCCGCCGATGCAAGGATGCTCTCCTGGCCCGGCTCCGGCTGCACCCTGACGCTGGCTCTCCGGAGCTCCGTGTGGGGACGTGCCTCCCCGGCAGACGCGTGCCGCGCCCGAGGCCCCACGGGCCGGATCGCCCATCCTGCAGGCCTGCGCCTCGCGGTCTGCTGGGGCCCGGGCGGCGCTCGGACGTCCAATTTTCCCGTGCGTGTCTCGTTTTCATGAGCCTCGATGGTCCTCGCCGAGGAAAGCGTGCTCACGATGCGCTCGGGGTGTTTTTTTCTCCCTCGGCGAGGACCATCGAAGAGCATCCTGGATCAAGAAACGCGCGCGCGAAGACGGAGCATGCACGGGGAATAGACGTCCGAGCGATGGCGAGGCCGATGCCTGGGGCGCCGTGGCAGAGTGTCAGCGCTCCACTCGGAAGGCTCGGCCCTGCAGGGTCTGCGTGACACCTCCGACGTTGACGCCCCAGGGGATCGGGGAAGGTCGAGGAACACACATCGCCACATACATACACCTTTGGCGCTCAACGCGGGTTCCTTGGATCCGCGCTGGGCCCCACGCGGCGGCGCCTCCGGCGCCGCCCCTGTCGTGCAGCGCGCGCCAGGGAGGGGGGTCCAGCGCAGATCCGCGCGGAGCGCCAAAGGTTTGTGTGTTATGCGGTATTCTTTCTTCTTCTAGATCTAGACATGCTAGAGCTCCACTCTGAATGGCTCGGCCCTGAAAGGCCTGCTTGAGACGGCCGACGTCGACGCCCGAGGGGATCGGGGAGGAGGGGAGGGGAGGAGGGAGGGAGGGTTGACGACCAGCAGCAACACATCGACTCTGCCTCGCACGAACCGTCGTCACGAACCCTTCAAAGAGGGCGGTGGCAGCCGGCGGCGCGATCGCACGATGGCGGCCCCGCCTCTACCCCATGTTCCCGATGCTGCTGTTGCGTTCCACTTGGGAAGGGATGGAGGAAGGGAGGTAATGGAGGAGAGGGAGGGAGGGAGGATATCGAGGAAGCGAAAGCACGAATCAGTCAGGCGCGTGGACTAGCGGCGGGCCCCGCTTATGTGCAGAGAATCGGCGCGTTCCGTCGATGACAAATCGAGCGGCCTTGGTCTTATGCTGCGGGGAAGGGTACCTTCCCCGATCCGTGGCCCACGTTGGCGTGCGCACGAGGAGAGGTGGGCGGCTCGAGTCATGATGTTCCAACCTGCTTTAGCCTTGACCACCAGGCATACTTTCGAGCACCCACAAAGTACCGAAACAAGAGGGTATTCACGTGCCGGGCCCCGGGAGACTTGCCCGACAGTGTTCAAACACTGTTTCGACATTTTTCCGGGTGCTCGAACATATTTCTGAGATGTGGATTGGAAGTGCGAGGGCGCGCCGCTGGATGTCCCCAAGGGGGTTGGGGGACCCGCCCCCCCCTCCCCCCCTTTCCCGATCCGTCGTCGGGACCCCCCCCCCCTCCCCCCCTTTCCCGATCCGTCGTCGGGGACCCCCCCCTCCCCCCTTTCAAAAGGGGGGGGGGGAGGGTGCTTCCGATCCCCCCCCCCCTCCCCCCCTTTGGCCGCCAAATTCGACGCCCCCTCCCCCCCTTTCGCCACGGCGCTCCTGGGCTCCCCACCCTTACCACCATTAACAGTGATCTTCAGCCTTACCCTAACCCCCAACCCGAACTCCAAACCTTAACCCTCGCCCCAAACACTGCTCACTACTCATTACGGACCACTCGCTACCCACTACTCACTACTCGCTACTCGCTACCCCCTTCTCGCTACTCACTACTCACGACCCACTACCCGCTACTCACTACCCACTACTCACTAGTCCCTGCCCACTACTTACGAGTCATTACTAAGTACTCACTATTCACTACCCACTACTCAATACTCACTAACTCACTAAACACGCTTCACTCACCCTCTACTCATTAACCACAAATCACGACTCACTACGCACTATTCGTTATTTACGAATGATTATTCACTATTCACACTTCACTCTTCACTACGCACTGCCCACAAATAGCTACTCACTATCCACTACGCGCTACTCCATACTCCCCAAATGGTACTCACCACTCGTTACTCACTACTCGTTACTCCCTACGCCCTATTCGCCTCCCAATACGCACTATTCACTATCCACTACTCACTACTCACTACGCTCCTACTACTCACAACTCACCACCCCCCATTCCCTACCCACTACTCACGGCTCACTCACTATTCACTACCCATTACGCAATACTCACTGAACACCTACTCTCTGCCCACTACTCACTACTCAATACCCACGAACCACTACCCACTACTTTACTATTGGGTACTCACAATTCACTACTCACTACTCACTGCCCACAACGCACTACTAACTATCCGCTGCTCGCTACTCGCTACTCCCTACCCCCTACACATAACTCGCTGCCCACCACTCACTATTCACTACTTGCTACTCCCTATTCGTTACCCGCGACCCAATACGACGACTCACCACCCACTTCGCATTATTCTACCCACTACCCCCCTACCCACTAGTCGCTAGTCACAAGTCGCTACACACTATTCGCTACTCACGGCTCACTACTATTCACTACTCTCTACTCGCTACTTCCTACCCACTACCCACTACCCACGACTCAATACCCACATCTCACTTCTCACTACTCACTATTCAT